ATAATTAAATCCGCTAATAACTTTCAATAAGTTTCGCATTATGTGAGATGGTCTTCCAATTGCAAGATTGCAAAAGCATACGTGATCTCTATTCATAATAAAGAAAATTTTAAATAAAGTATAAACAATTTCAAAGCTCATATATATATATATACTCACCATTACGGAAATACATCAAGTAGATGCACATGAATCAATGGATTATTATAATGTCGTAAGATAAAAGAGCCGTACTTTACACGTTTATTATCAAATTTAAAATATTATTCGTTTCGTCTAACTTGTACATTTGTTGTGTTAAAACCGACTGTATATGGAATAATAAAGTTAGCATGTAAATTCTAGCATAAATTGTAAGGATCTATGATGGTCGATGACAATTACATTGTATGTATAATTATAGTTTTATCGTATATATTGATTTATAAATTATATTGTAACATATAGTAATCAAAAAATACAATTACACTGTATTTTTCGTTCCATTGGTCAACCAAATCCTTACTGATATAATTACAGTAGCTAAGATCGAGAATGTTCAATTTAGGACATTTCACGAAAAGCTGAGAACATATGTCAGGTGTCACTGAATTTACATTTTCCAAATTTAAGTATTTTAAGTTTTTGCACACTGTTAGTGTTTCACAATCACGCTCGGTGAGGCTTTTAAATCTGCTAAAGTCGATTTTTTCCAGTTGACAGGAAGAAAACAATCTACCGAAGATATCACCACTGACCTTACCGATCAACTGGCAGCTACAAAAACAAAAAGTCAATACGATTATAGGAATTGTATGCAAAGAAAAAATAAGCAAACAAATTTCAATAAAGAATATGTATTATAAAAAAAAAAAACACTTTCACATACGTACCTAGAAAAACTCACTTCTTTCAGATTTTTACAATTGGCAAGGGCATCAATGCCCTGCGATGTAAATTTGCAGCCTTTTAAATTTAACCTTTCCAAATTTGGACATGAATTCTGTAATTCCATTGCAATTGCATCTATATTTAGAAGCGTACAGTTCAAACTTAAGTCTCGCATCTGTCCATTTTTCTGTAGTATTTCACACAAAGTATTAGCTTCAATAGCTTTTACATATTTAAGTTGTAAACTTTCCAAAAATTGTAAATTCTTGAGGTATGAAATATTTTCATTTGTTATGCCATCACAATAATTCAGATCCAATTCTAAAAAAATATTTGTATTATATCATACAATTATATTATTTACCTGTAATTATAATTAATAATCATATACATACCTTTCAAATTTTTACATATCTTTGAAATATAACGTAGTTCAAAATCAACATAATAGCATTCACTTAATCTTAGATGCGTTAAATTCCTGCAGCAAGTTTTCACAAATTTTCTAAATTTCGAAGTAGAAAACGTGCAAAGTGACAGATCCAACTGTAATAAATTTTTACATCTGGGTGCAAAGTAATTCAATAACTGACAAAGATTAATGTGCATGTATGTTAAATGTATATTTCGCAAGTTTAAATATTTGTATAGCAGAGAATCCCGTGATAACATATTCAAGCGTTTATTGACTCTACTCATGCGGCTTAACGATGTCATATCTAAATTTTTCAATATTTCTAGTATCACTTCATCCTGCAAAGATAAAATTTAATTTTATTGACATTTATATGAAATAATAATATTTATTAAGAGAAATATAAAATACTTCTTAAAATACTTTACAGGAAGCGTAGAAAAATTGTAAGATGATCGCTCTTTGGATTCATCTGAATAAGGTTTAATATCTTTCATACACTTTGTATAATTTGAATCACTTTTTAAAAAGTGACGCATATATATCTGCCGATATCTATGTATGTGCTTAAAAAATGGCGCTCTACTGATTATCTGTCGAGACATTTGCTTGCGTCCGAGCTCACTTTTATGAAAGTTCTTTAATATATCGCTGCGTAAATAACAATGAAACAAATTTAATTTCATTTTTAGCAGAATGAATAAAAATTTAATATTGATGGGTAACTATATAATTATAATACGTACCTTTTACAAATAATACAATATTTTTTAAAGTTCTTTTGAAGTTCAAGTATATCCGAATGTGGTTCTGTATCATCTGTTCCGTCGTGTTCATGTCTGTCCTGGATCTGATAATTAATGCTTTCTAACAGGTGACTTAGAGTACATAGACTCTTTTTAGGACTTCTAGGAAAGATTAATTCTGATGTACCAATAAGTATTACAGCTTTTACTACCTCTATTGGGGTATTTCTATAAGGAAATAATTGAAATTTAAGCTTTTTCGTTTTAAAATCGCACGACAGCTGCATACAAGCAACAAAATGGATTAATCCCCTTATGTTATCCTCCCATTCATTCTCCCATACTGCAAACCATTGACCATCAGAGTTTTGTGCCCAAACTCGGTGAATGTTGCAATTGTCCAAGCCATACAGAGACACTTTGATGGGATAACACGCTTCATAAAATTCGATATCTTTTAAAATAGAAAATATAATTACAATCTTTTTTCTGAACATAAGTGTATCTTTAACAATATCTTATCTATTTAAATATTATTTACCAATATATTTGTGTATTTTATTGACCATCCTAAAATCCTGTGACTCATCATATGGTATATCATCAAATGAAAAAAATGATGTGTGTATCAATGCTTCGTAAGTTTTCTGTATTAAAAAATAACCCAGAAGAATGTCAAATACTACAAAATCTTGCATAAAGTTAAATTGCAATTTATATAGGACTATGACAGTGATACAGAAAGAAAATACACATGGTAAATACCTTTTTAAAATCTTCATAATTTGTAACTGTGATAGGTGGCTCAGTTATCTTACAGTTAATAAATGTAGTGCTAAAATTATTGTAATTTTGAATACAATGATAAGTATTTACAAATTGATAAATAAAGTCAACATGATCTGTCTCTTCTCCGGTTACTCTGTTTACATAGTTAATATTATCTTCATAAAGATTTATCATTGTCTCTCTCTGAAAAAAAAATACATGAAGAATAATATTTGTGCTTTTTCCGTATATACTAAAATGCCACATTTATATTATCATATGTCTATTATAATTAAACTATATAATAATTTAATTTCTTTTATTTTGCTCACTTTTAATATTATAGTGTTCCAGATTTACTGTGACACCCGTTAAGATTATATTTTTGAAGTCATTTTAGTATTCTTTATTTTATTTTGAGATGAATTTAATAGTTTTCAATAAAAACTGTTTAAAATTAATCGATTAAATTGTACGAATGAGTGAACGCAAAAATAGTTTGTTTTGGTCCCGTTCCAGATAGCACAGAGAACTAAAAAAGAACTCTCGAGTTATATGTCAAGAATTCTGAGAGAATTTCATTTTCAGACGCAAAAACAATTCTTTTTCTAAAAATTTTGAAAAAGGACTCTTTTTGCACCTGAAAATAAACTCGGAATTGATAACATACAATTGAATATACTAATGAATTCTTTTTGACTCTGTGTGCTATCTGGGGTGATTTTCAAACTAATTTGTGTCAAATGATATCTTATGAGACACCAATTATAAAAAAATTTCAAATTGAACCTAGAATTGGTTTACGAGATATGGGGGTGTCAAAATTTATTAAAGCGTCAGCTCATACACGTTAAAGCACAATTTTTTTATATTAGTTTGATTATTTATTAAAAATTCGTACCCGAGGAGTTTGCTGATTCCTGACAACAAATTTGAAATTAGATTTTTAAAATTTAAAACAGCCGATTTAATATATATGGTATATATTTAAAAATTTTAATGTTTGATTACTTTGATAAATATCTTATAGAAGCTTTTTGAGTACCTGATTATAAATCTAAAGTCAGATTTTCTGAAAAAAATAATTGATGTATGATGAACAAAAAAAATTTTTATTTTTGTAAAAATTGTACACTCGACCGTTCTGTTAAAGTTGGCTATGTAACTTTAGAAATCACACAAATAATTTTTATAAACTGTTAATGATTTTATATTGGAATGCTGATTGAAAATCTGGGATATAGAGGCAGAGTACCTCAGAGTTCGTGGTTCCAATTTTTTGCCTTAATTTCATATGCACTTTTATTTATAAAAATATTATTGACTTGGTTAGATGGCTTGTATGGGTGAGATTATGTGTGGAAAGAACTGCGTGCATTTGAGGTAATTATAGAGAAATAAGATAAATATATAGGATAGGAAAGGGTAAGGCGGAGAAGTTGAAGGGTGTAGAGGCAGGGAAAATGGAGGGGAAGAAATGGATAAAGTAGAAAAGTAAGAATTCGGGGATGTAAAAGTAGATAGGTAGTAGAAGTTAGAGCGGCGAAAAGGCGGGAAATGTTGATTGCGCGGATAAGTAAGAAAGACAGTAAAGGTAGGACAGTATAGAGATGTAATTAATTCTAAAGATATGAAAATAGAAGGAAGGAAAGGAGGCAGGCGGTAATAGAAGTTAGAGCGACGAAAAGGTGGGAACAAGAATTTTCGAGACAGGAACAATGCTGACAATAGAGGATAGAATCTGGAAGCAAAAACCACAAGGAAAAGAAATTAGAAGAGGAAGCGAAGCAAAAGGAAAAGGAAGAGGGAAGAAAGAGCAGAAGGAAGGATAGAGAAGTAACAAGCAGGAAACAACGGCGGACTTTAGTAGATAGTAAAAGGAGAAGGTACCACTATACAGTTTTTTAAAAAATAAAGAAGGACTGGAGTCAGCCAGGAAGGCAGAGAGAACGGACAGCGGAAGAGTAATAGAAAAAGGATGGAACGAATTGGGTATAAGAATTAAAGGAATGGAAAGTATAGGAGTTTGGGAC